CCATGGGGAATAGATCAACTGGCAAAGACCAAAGGACACAAGAATAGAAACAGCCATCCATCCTGTCTCAAGGAAAGTCCAAGTTTGTGCAGTAATTCGTGCTGCCAAGCTTCCCTACAGGACCTGACCAGGCTATCTTCCAGCTGAGATTCTATTTGTGTTTAGCTTTATCTCCTGCTCTCTCCTGCTGCCCTCACTGTCCCTATCCTGAGAGCACTCTTTCAGTAAATACCATAAACAAGAATTTATGAGTTACCTCTGCTTTTACAGAGTCTTACCTAAAACACGTGGCAATATGTAAGTCATCTCTGAAAGAAAGAACCCTAAGCATAGGTCTTAAAAATCTCACAAATAGGATTCCAATGAATATGAGCCCACAGATTCTTTTCAACAAATCACAAAACCCTACAATAAAGCATCATCAGTGAGAGTCACCAGGAAGAAAATGCAAAAATTTCATAAACTACAATCTTCAAATTAAATACAAAAGACAGATATATACAAAATATGTATATATAGTATATATAGTAAATGGATGAAAAGAGGAAATGAAAAATATGAGTGAGAACAAAAATATATCAAAAGCAAGTCAATTCACCAGAGAAAGGAAGATGTTTTAGTAGTGTATAATAGATGAAATTAAAACTCAATATATGGCATTAATAATACTTTTCTGGGTCTGTCTCCTAAGGCAAGTGAACAAAAGCAAAATTAAATTAGGACTACATCAAACTAAAGTTTTTGCACAGTGAAGGGAAGTCCATTAATTTCACTTACACGTAGAATCTAAAAAAAAAAGAACAGAAATATGCTCATAAATAGAGAACTGGTAGTTACCAGAGGAGAAGGTACAGAGGAATGGGCAAAATAGGTGAAGGAGATAAAGAGGTACAATCTTCCATTACAAAATAATAAGTCAAAGGGATGAAAAGCATAGCACAGGGAATACAGTCAATAATATTGTAATAACTTTGTATGGTGACAGATAGTAACCACACTTATTGTGGTGAGCATTTCATAATGTGTACGGTTGTTAAATCATGTTATACACCTGAAACTAGTATCGTATACTAACTATACATCAATTGAAAGATAAATAAATAAAACTCAGTGTATGGATTAAAGAACAGATTCGACTCCAGAGAACACAGAGCCAATGGGGTAGAAGGACCTGAATAAATCTCTCAGAATACAGCACAGAGAGTGCTGAAGGGGAAAGATATGAAATAAAGGTTGAAATACACAGAGTGAGAAAGCTGACATGCACCAAATCAGAGCGCTAGTTTAATAGAGACAATGGTGTAGAAGCAATATTTCAAGAGACAATGCCTGAAATTTTTTCAAAGTTTCATAGAAGACCCCAAGCCACAGATTCAGTAAGTTAACCAAATCCCAAATGGTATAAATAAAAAGAATAACTATTAGGCATGTATCATAGTTTTATGGAGCAAGACTGCCTAGATTTGAATTCTGCTTCTAATAGTTACCACCTACGCAACATGGGACCAATTAGTTAATCGTTAATCTTTCTTTGCTACAGTTTCTGATCTGTATGATGGGTTCAATAATAGTAACTACTTCATAGATTGTTATGAGGATTAAATGAGTTATTATCTGCAATGCTCTTAGAATAGTGCTCTTGGGTTTTTAATATTCATCTTTATTACTTTCACCTTGAATGCTAATTAAATTCAGGGTGCTTTGAATCAGAGACACATTTCTTAAAATTACCTCAAAATAAATAGCAAGTGAAGTGGCCTTCTGTGTTCTAACCCTTACTCATGAGGAAAGCCAGGTCACATGTCCTAGAAGCAGCTCAACACTCTACATGTGAGTGACAAAGAAAAATTGATTTTTCCCACTTAAATACATAAGAGACAATCATTCTCCCCCATCCAGAAAGGAGAGAAATATTTTCTCCTCTTTTGAGATTGGATGAAAAGGATCCTAGGTTCCCATTCTAACCTTCTGGAATGTAAATACATCTTTCCAAGGCCAAATAAACCCAGGTGTCCCCCAGGTCTGGGTTTAGTTTGTGCCCCAATCTCTCTGGCACCTTGAGAGCTTAACCTCTTGGCCTGTTCCACACTGTAACCATTTAGCCCTCTTGGGAGATAGAGGAATTTTATTATCTTTTTAAATCAAAATAATTAACTATACAAATGACTAGAGATCTGATCTTCATATTATGCATACAGTCTCCTGGACACGAGCACTGTGTGAAATCCAGGGAAGTTTCTTTTCCCCACATGTGCCTGATAAATACTAAGAATAATTATTTGTTAAATAAAATAAAATTAATAAATTCATAAGATAAGAGCAGAAAGCAATGAAACACAAGAAGATACAAATGAAAGGATCAACAAAGCAAGAGTTGGTTCTTTGAAAATTTGATAAAATTGACCAACCCTGGTGAGACAAATCAAGAAGAGACATGACCCAGGTAAGCACCAGTCAGACAGAAACTGGGGATGTAACTACAGATACAGCAGAGATTACAAATATAGGAAGAAAATATTTTAAACAGATTTATTACTACTACCACTTTGCAAACCTTTTGGCATTATCTGGCAAGATTGAAGATAGGCAGGCCCAGCAATTTTGCTCCTTAAAATGGCTCTTGAGAAACCCTTGCACATGTGCATCAGTACAAGACTATCTATGGAAGCACTGTTTATTGTTCAGGAAAATAGAACACCAAATGCTCATGTAAAAGGATATAAATACATGACTTGTGGTGACTTCATACAACAAAATATGGAGCAACAGTAAAAAAAAGAATAAACTACAGCTATAGGCCATCAACTCTAATGAATGCCACACATACATTGCTTGGCAAAGTGGCAAATTACAAAAAAAAATACAGTACAACACTGTTATGTAAATTCAGAAACAACCAAAATTCAACCATATGCCATTTGAAGTCTATAAATTCATGGTGAAATTATAAACAAAGGTGAAGTAATAATTTAGACTAGTAGTATCTTGGGGAAGGAGGCAAAGGAGTATCAGAGTGCAAGACATGGCCAGTTTTAAGAGTATTAGAAATGTTACAATTATCAGTTGGGCGGTGAGCAACTGGTGTTCATTTTATGATCATGTCCTAAAACTTATATATACACTACTCTTCCTCTTTAATGTGCAAAATAGTTTAAAACAAAAGAGGTGTTTTCCATGGCATATATAAAAGAAAGAAAGATGGGGAGAAGGGCAAAGGAAAGGGGTGGAGAAACATTTCCCAAAATCTTCATCCAAAGTACCAGTGGCAGGGTGGGAGTGGAACAGCAAAATGACACAATACTCTATCTTCTAGAACGTACTGGGTTTGGCACTTTCAGTAGGTTTTCTGACACAATTTGTAATCTTTAATGCTCAGAGAGTATTTTCTTGGCAAGAAGTTAGAAAAGATCTTAGCTTAAGAGCACAGACCATACAACAACTTAAAAATTCTTAAAAAGTACCTTTAAAAATTGTATGCAGTATACACTTAGGGATAGTCTTTATGAATGATTCTCTTAGAAATGCTATCAGTAGGCTTTGAAATAAAAAAGTATTTTATCATGGATGCTTGCTTCACCAGTGTGACACCCACAATTCCTATGAATTCCCCAGCGTCTCTCAATTCTTCTCTCACAGGCTGGGAAAGGACACTGGGGTGACCATCCATGCAAGACAGAAGGGACGATATATCTTCTGTTGTTAAACCCAAGACAGGTGGACTGACCCCAGTGGTTTGCAAGTCTTTTTAAAAGGTGAATATTTAACACTAACTTTATCTTAGGTTTGGTTCAGTTGCTAATTTGGAGGCATGGAGAAAAAACGTCTTTCTCAACATTGTTTTAATTTTATGCTAATATCAATTATTAAAGACAATTTAAAGTTTGCTTTGTAGATGTGTGCTTTCTTAGAAAAGAAGAAAACTCTTACGTGTGTGTGTGTGTGTGTGTGTGTGTGTGTGTTGTTTGTGTTGTGTGTGTATGAAAATAAATACCCAATGGGTTAAAACAGGATTATGAAGTAGGAAAAATCTCTTCATAAAATTCTCTTCTTTCAAAAGATGTTTTATTTCGGTTTTAAACACAAGGGGAAAGATTTTGTCTTACAGACATCACTCCCCCACACCACATCTCTCTCCCCTTCCTGGGTTTCATGTTTCCTTTAAACATATGTAAGCAATTTAAATGTTACAGACCTCAAGGCAGTCTTAGCTCCCTCTTCACCCAAAAATAAGAAAGCAAGTTGCTAGTCTCTAGACTTTACAGAGATCTAAAAATTGAATTGTAAAATCATATTTCACAGAAAAACCTAAGCTGACTTCTCAGGTTATGAATACCTGATTATGGTAGAGACAGTTCAGATAGAGCCCCATTTTAAATCATTTGGAAAAGGTACTTATTCATTATACTGAGTCTTATGCTCAGGAAAGAAAATAGAAAGGGCATAGTTTTGAGCTGTCAAGCTTAACACATGTATAAAACAGATATTCTCACTTTGTTCTATGGCAGAATTGAGCCTGCTAAATTTGATACTAGGATAGAGTCTAAGCAGTGGTCAAAGAGATACTCTGGCACTAGAAATATGATCTACAAAATGCACTAAAGTGAAACTTACATATATACATATTATTAAGATACAGGTCATTAAAGATGCATTCACTATGTGAATGACTGTCATCTGAAACTCATCTTTATTACATGCCAATTCAACGTGTTAACATCACTACCTTAAAAATGGAAATGACAAGGGAAAGGCAGAGTCACAATTTCATACTCTCTGAACTCTATTTGCAGAGATGGCAGTAATCCTGGAAACATTTAAATAATCATGCTTCCCCTATCAGAGCCATATTAAGAATAACTCTCTCTGCATTTTTACTTAAAGAGAATTGCCAAGGGGGACCCATATCTAGTAAAATTAACAGACCAGTGAAGACAGAACATGGCAGTCTCTGTTAACAGGAGTAACCTTCCACAGGTAGCTAAGAAAACACAAGAGCTTACCTTTATGATGGTTTGCACTGGATACAACTTTCCCCCACAAGGTTATGATAAATATTATTATTAGCAGTTTTCCTTTTGTTGCTTTCTGTAAGTATCTCTTACTCATCCTGCAAATAAAAATAATAATAAAAATCCTAAGTACATGGAACCATTGCTTTTTCATTATAATTACGCTACATTTAAAGCTTCCCAGGACACTGAAAATTGCTTTTTTGTACTTTAAATGCTCTTTATTGTCTAGAAACTATGAAAAGAAAAACTGAAAGTTTTCCAAAGTACCTTGACATGGTGCAAGAGGTAAGAGAGGCACTATCTCAGTCAGTCTTTATTCACTTAACAATAGCCAAAATAAATTGGGAAACATGGCCATTTCTCTCTCCATGTAAATATAGATTTAAATTATTCACAAAATCCAAGATACAGTTGTTTGAATAATCTTGAAGTGACTTGTTTTTAAGATTTTTACTTCTTTTTTTTAAGATTCGTCCTTCAAGTCAAATGGTCAGGGTGAACAGTTTAAATAAAATGTATTTGATGAATTCCTGCACAGAATAAAGTCATTTCAAATCTATTTGTCCTTATGTGCTTTTTAAAAAGCCACATAATAGCTTCTTTATTGTACTAAAGAAGACACACAGATGTTTTAATATTGTTGGACTCTACCATGTTGCAGTTTATCAGAGGCAGGAGAAAACTGGAAAAGCAGAATTTATATGCCAAGTTAACATTTTCAAGTTGAGCCCATAAAACTCAGGAAAGCAAAGAAATGTCATAATAAGAAAACAGCTACCTACAATAAAAGTTCAGCATCTACTTTTCTAGTACTTTTTATGACATTATTTCAATTGTTCTTCACAACAAATTTGGGATATTGGTACACTTATTCCTGTTTCTTAGATGATGAAATTTGGAAATTTGCCTGAGGTCACATTTAATGACAGAGTAAAAATTCAAACCGAGAAATGTCATTTCTAAAGTCCTTACATTTGCTACTACATTGCTAAGGGGTGAGCAAAACTGATACAAATTTAATCCATCTGCATATTTATGAGGGAGATAGAAATCTCTATCTATCAGGCCCAGTGACTTCTTAAATTCACATCCTGTACCAAACTCCATTCTTGTTTGACCTATGGGTTCTTACCTTAGTTCTAAAGTCTAGAACTAGAACGAAGTTCTCTTGTTCATGAGATCACTTCTTGACCTAGCCTGATTCCTCTTCCTCTAAGATAAAGTTACCCTTTTCCTCAAACTTTTACTTCCAAAACATTCCACATCCAAGAATATAGTTCAGTGGTAGAAGTGATATGATGGCTGTATAATTTTGAAGAGGAACCTCTCACATGGATAAATGCATGAAAAATTAATTATTACATATTTTAATGTGGCTATGCTAACATTTCTTGGGGAAGTTGTACATACTAATTTCAGCGTATGATTCAGAACATGACTCACTTCCAAGTCTGACTATCTGGACTTACATCCATGCTCTACTGGACTTCCAGTTACGTGATCTTGTGTGAGTTACTGGGTCTCCTGCTTCAGTTTCTTCTTCTGTTATATGGGATGAAGCATCTGAGATGCCTGGGCTATTGTTTGGCATGTATGAAGGCTCAATGACTATGAGACTAGAGAACATTCAGTCACTTGTATGTTATGTTTGGTCCCTGAGGGTATGAGAGGCCAGTTCCATTTAGGAAGTGATTAAAGGGAACTTCAGTGACAACAACAGGTCCAAGTCCTCCACGGACTTTGGTTTTGTGGCATGATGTACAAAGGGATGTTTGACTCTTTAGATTAAATTGGCTTAAAATCTGGCTCCCTGCCTAGTGTAGAGACTATATATATGACTTTGGACAAACTACTTGTAACTTGAAGTATTTTTGTTGCCATTAAAATGAGGATAATACCTACCTCACAGTATTGTTACTAAGAAGACCAAATGAGATAGTCCATGCAAAGAGTTTAACACCATACACAGAAATTAGTAAGTGCACAATAAATGTTAACCATCACTAGGATCACTACTTGGTCAGTCCAGCACTTCCCTCAGAGCATCCTGTGAGGCATCAATTCTGCAGAATGTTAATGCAGAACCAACAAAAGACAGAGGGAGCAAATATGTTTGTGAAATTCTAGGTTCAACAAATCTAACCAGATTTTTTTTAACAAAAGGCATATCTGAGTGTGCAGCTTCTTCCAGAAACGTTTCTCCACAGAGTAACACAGGATACAGTGCACTCAGGAGAAATAATCTGGTTTAATGTTCTCTCTTTATAAGCCAATGCCCACTTTAAATCTCCCATTCTATTGCCTTTGTTGCCTATTGGCACTCTTCTTACTGGTTTTGCTATGAGATTCTACTTTTTTTCGCATATTTTCAAACATTCTACCTCCTTTTCCACATCCAATCCCTGCAACCTTATTGTGCTGTGTATCATATAACAGAATGAACAGTTTAGCAAAACTTATCTTACAAGAAGAGCTGCTTAGCATAATTCTTGATAATAGCTTTCCCATAGCAAATGGCGTCTGCTACAAGGTCAATGACCCATTGTATTTTCCATACCATTGTTCACGCACCAAATGGGATGACAGAACTGACAGCTGGTCAAACTGCCAACTAGACATGTAGAAACAAAAACACCCACAAAGTAGCCAGACTGTAAAACTAAGAAAGGAAGGAGAAGGCAGATCAAAATTTGGAAGTCTGTACAGACCCCTGCCTTCTCCCTGTCCACACCCCCCACCATCAACCCTGGATGGTTATTTAACATCTTCTGTCAATTCTACTTTCTAAATATTCCTTGCCTGTATGCATTTATCCTCATTCCTACTGCAATACTGCAGTTCAGACTGCCAAAATTTCTCACAGGCTACAGCCTCCTAACTGGACTTCCTACTGCCAATTTTGCCATCCTCTGGAAGTGATCTCAGGGTCTGTGTCTGCTTTTTTCATAACTCTATCTGCAGTGTTTAGTACTTAGTAAGTACCTGATAAATACGGCTGACTATGAGGTATTCCTTATGCTTTAGTCAAATATGTAACTAAAATCCTGATATGCTTTTCATGGGATATGATTAAAACTTTCACATGACTCCCTTCTAATATTCAGGAAAAAAACAAAGGCCATAACCATTAGCAAAATGTAAAATACCAGTATCATGTTTGAAAAAAATCTTTTTTTTTCTTTTGGTATCATTAATCTACAATTACATGAAGGACATTATGTTTACTAGGCTTCCCCCTTCACCAAGTCCCCCCCACATACCCCTTCACCGTCACTGTCCATCAGCGTAGTAAGATGCTATAAAATCACTACTTGTCCTCTCTGTGTTGCACAGCCCTCCTCGTGAAAAAGACAGATGCACCCCTATGTTTATTGCTGCACTATTTACAATAGCCAAGACATGGAAGCAACCTAAGTATCCATCAGTAGATGAATGGATAAAGAAGATGTGGTACATATACACAATGGAATATTACTCAGCTATAAGAAGAAAACAGATCCTACCCTTTGCAACAACGTGCATGGAGCTAGAGGGTATTATGCTCAGTGAAATAAGCCAGGCGGAGAATGAAAAAAAATCTTTTTGACTCTTTATATCTCCAATCTTATTTCATGCCCTCCCATCGCTCCACCAGTGTCTCTCTCTCCACACACACTCAAGGATGAAACCCTGACGCGCTCCCCAGGCAGCAGCAGTTCGCTAGAAGCACAAGAAGCAGCTTCACTGAGAAAAGGTAACCTGGGCACTGAAGGATGTTGAAAGTGAAAAGTTGTCAAAGTAGGGGACTGACAATTGAATCTTCAGACTTTCTCCCCTTCTTCCCTTCTGTATTACATGCTTCAGTTATATTCACTGGGATTTATAAGACTTCTGGAGGCTTTTAAAGTCCTTTGCCCTCCACCTATGTTTAAAGTACAAGCAATTGTAAATAATCAAGAATTGAAACATTATTGTGCTACTAGAAAGATCACTTCCCCTTAAAAACAGAAAGTACATTTAACTGCTCTAAAGAGGAGAAGATGCAAGAGGAAAAGTGGGGGAAGCCTTATGTACAAAGGGGCAAAAAGCCAGAGCCAAGAAACCAACCGCCTGGTCTCTCGAGCTTACGGCCCTTCTGCAGAAATAAAGCCCAGAAAATGCAATATATATATGTATGAAGTTCTTTTTAGGACACTTTCCTACATTGATCTAATATTTATACCAATCTGCTGTTTATTAAGTGCAATGGCATGGACTTTAACAGCTAAATCTAGAGCAGTAATTTACCCTTGAAGTAGAATGCTCCAATTGATAACCCAAATTCCTCTTCTCCTCATGGCAACCAGGATGATCCTTATAAAAATATAAATTAGATCCTATTGCTCCACCTTCCTCCTTGCTTAAAAACCCAGACTTCACCTACCTATTAACATGAAAGGAAAATATAAATTTCTTCCCAGAGAGAAGGCTCATCATCATCTCTGCCCTGGATGTCTCGAGTCTCATTCACATGTTTCCCCCTTTACCTACACTCAGCCACCTCGGCCTTCCCTCTGCTCCTTTGTTGGAGAAGGTCATCAAGAGGATGTGACCACAGGTTGATGTGCACGCCAGACCGGACACTCGGGGACTCCTCACCCACCTCCCTGTTCTTGGAGTGCATACACGTTCTGCCACCGTACCCACAGCCAGAGCCATTTCAGGGACAGAGCCTTGAGAGAGCACTGTGTGGTGGGGACGATCGGGACGGTACACATGACTGAGCCCAGCTGAGGCCTCTGTATGAACGTTTCAGATTCTAGCAGGTGGGTGTGTGCATCTCTTTGTCTTGTAGCCAGCCAAGGCAAGCCTTGTGAGTTCCCTTGTTTATTATAACTGCCACCTACCAATTTGGAGTGGCCTATCTTCCCTCACCCTTCATTATGGGGGCCAGTTTCAGATTTCACCTAAGAAGCTCCCAAGGGTAGGGAGCAACACACCTGTGCCAAGTTCATTCTGCACTTCACACTAAACATTAGCTCTGACCCAAAGCCTTTCCCTCCAGTCTGCGTGGTGAGCTTCTGTTTATGATCACCTCCATAGAGCATGCCTGCAGACCATCCTGCCCTCCAGAGCC